TATTAATATAATGAACAACTAAAGTAAAACCAATGAACAAATGGAATGTTAAAGTCCCAATTAAAATTATAAACATTTTAGATTATGGTCCTTTATTTTCTGAAATTTAAATTAACTTCCAGATTACAAAATCAGTCTCTAAATTATGCCTGTCTATATTTCCGAGATGAGGTATTGCAATTATTTATACTATTTACATTATTCAGACTGTTGTCCTCATCTCTGCAATATTCATGATGTTTCGGCGAGTGTACACTCCAGCCTTCTTCAGGCAATTCAAACCGAATCCTTTTATTTTGTTCACAAAGGTAAGGACAACAGACTGAACAATGTAAGAAATGCAAATAACTAAATTATACATTTGTAAAGATTTAACCTGTTTTTCAATGATACCAAATAAAAGAATAAAGGCAAAATTTTTTTAGAGATTAACTTTTTCAATCCTAATGGGATACATAAACCACTCCAAAATATCTTAATACCAATTGCTAATTTTGATTTTTTTTTTTTAAATTTCATATAAATACTTTTAAGCTTCTAATTGAATTAAAATATATATGCATACACAAAGCTACATTCACACCAGTTAAATGGACAGGTGTGTTGCAAGGGCTAATTTCTTTGTCTGGCAACAATCCCTGAGTAACAGGAAAAATATATAAGCCAAAATGTGTGGACCCTTTGAAGTCATTTTTATGACTTCTCCTGTATTTATGCTGATTGTATTTTCTAATAAATGTATTTTAAATAGACAATTTAGATTTTTAAACTTGATCATTTTGCTAACAGCGAAATGAGTTACTAGTGTCTATAAAATGTATTTTTTATTTTATTTTTTTTTTTTATTTTTTAAGAGTGTTTCAAAGTGTTCCACTGTGATTGAACGTTAAATATTGATTGGTACTGACAGATTCAGCACTGACATTTACTCCTTTAGTTACCCTCCCTGTAAACCAAAACAGTTCACCAAGCTGTTTCCATTTAACCTAGAAATTTGGGGGTTTTTTTTCCTCCATTTACACTGATTATACATTCTTTTTAATGATGCTCAATGTAATTAAATTTCAATGTAAATATTTAATCATGAGCTAAACTAAATAGGAATCATTCTTAACACCTTGGGTCCCAAGCCTTATATCTCTTGTCCCAGCATTTCAATACTATATTTTAATTTTGGTACAAGTGACTTTATGTCTTAACATTGTTTCATAAATGAGGCAAGGATATTATAGAATCCATTTTACAACCCAGAGCCCCACCTGTGGGCAGTAGGAAAATTCCTGATATACAAGTATTACACTGACACTAACTCATTTCTATATTAAAATATTTCAATTTTTTGGGGAAAACAAATGTGTTTCTCGTGTACCATGATCTCATAAGCAATCAATCATAGCATCCCACTCCCAATAATCCTTATAGAAAAGAAATTGGAAAACGACCCACTGGAGAGTCATGTGGGCCTTGCAGACATACCATCACCACGACACTCTGGTGGGTCGAGTGGGAGCCGACATGTTAATCCATGTGCTGTCCAATTTAAAACCCTCCAGATTTCTTACTTGGGATGAAATAAATGAAAAACATCCCTCCACAAATAGGTGAAAAGAAAAATATCATATATATATATATATATATATATATATATATATATATATATATATATGTGTGTGTGTTATTGCTTAGGCTAGAATCCTTTTTACCAATACTCTTTTAAAATTTTGGTCAATATCTGAATGTCAGCAAACTGTACAAATTCAAATGACCACATGCCCAAATTAAAATTCTCAGTAAAAATTAACATTGTTTTTTTATTTTAATAAACATTACAGAAGTTCAGTTCTCTAAAAAGGACAATCATAAATCATTTACTGATTTGCAAACATGAAAACACTGAAAAATGTTATTTTTTCACTGCTAATATTGATTTTGGTGTGAGCATAGTTGTTTCATTTGCTTAAAATGCCAAATAAATATATATCATCATCAAATATTAAAAAATATTTTTAGGAAGCCACTTTGCAATATGGCATCACCCAAATGTAAACTTAAAAAAAAAAAAAAAAAAAAACATGAAAAATTTATTCACTTGCAACAAAGATAATATTAAAGAAAATGTAGCAGACGGTAGAAATTATTTACGTTTACTATTATCCTCATCTTGTTGTTGTTATCACAACATTTTAACCACTGAGTCTTCTGGCCTTCACCAGGTTCATGTTAATCTGGGTAGACTTCAGTAAATTTCAAACTGACCCATTTATTTAATCTATGGTGTGGTGGTAGTGGGGTGGGGGAAATCGTTCTTGTTCTACTATGTCTTGGGATATCTCGTCATGGTTAACGGATCAAGAATGATCTACCCCCACACTAGATTAAACAAATAATTTAGTTTGAAATTCCTTGAAGGTTACCCAACTTGATAAGTATCTGATGACGACTGGAGGAAAGAATAGCCGAAAGGTTGTGATGATAACAACAATGATGAGGATAATAGTCTGAATGTAAATAATAATAACTTGTCACCCCAGAAATTCAGACAGGGATAGAAATATTATTGAAATAATAAAGGGGGTGGGGAACTGTTTTAAGCACAACGAAGTATACAAGTGAATATCATAATGAAAATGGCTGAGATTTCATACGAACACATGTACTATCAGGTCTTGACTACCACACTGTCATTTTTGCTTCATCATATTTCACAGAAAAAATTTTGTGGCACAAAAAAACAAAAAAAATAACAAAAAAAAAAAAAAAAAAAACATGAATTCCAAATTAAAAATATTCAAACCACAGCAATATTACCTTAAATATTGTTGTTCATTTTCTTTCTTTTCCCATATTATGTGTACATCTCCCTTGGTTAGACAAAAATCTTTGCCATAAATATAAGCTTGACCCATTTTAGTTTTAGTTTGTTTTTTTTCTAATGTTTTGTTTCAGGTTTCAAATGTTGTAAATTGGGGGAGAGGTATTGAAAAGAGGAGAGAAAAAAAAACAAAAAACCTTCCTCTCCCCAAGGCACCAGCAACAAAGAGAGATCTAAGCCGAAATTGAAAAAAAAATTAGCAGCAGAAATGGTGGCATTGTTAGTGGCTTTTTGTCTTTTTAGTAAAGCAGAAGTGAACTAAAATAAAAAGAGGTGGAAAAAAAAAATGAATCTAAGAATTAGGATCAAGAATACCCTGTGCTTACAAGAAATCAAGAACAGCACAGAAAAGGGCATCTTTTTTCTA